AAAAAAAAAAAAAAAACTGGGGTGTCTATCTCCCTCTCGGACGATAGTCTTTCACATACCCGGCATCACGCGCCCGCTCGTTTTTGCAGCGACGGCGCTTGCTTGCCACGACTGCGGTGCTGTCGCGTGGCTTCGGAAGGAGAGAGAGAGAGAGAGAGAGAGAGAAAGAGAGAGAGAGAGAGAGAGAGCGAGAGAGAGAGAGCGAGAGAGATGGAGGGGGAGAGACCATCTGGAAAACGCGAGAACAACAGAATATTTTGTTCGAGAATTGTCGCACTCTCTCTCTTTCTGTCTGTCTTTCTCTTTCTCTCTTTCATTCTCTCGCCCTCTCTCTCTTTCTTTCTGGCTTCCCCTATCGTTCGCTCTCTGCCGCTCACTGTGGTTTACCAGGTTGTTAGAGATGAGCAAAATGGTTCGCTGATACGCCGCGCGGTGGCGCTCGCGGCTGAGCTTCGTCTCGCTGAGCCAGCCAGGCACCGCGGGCGGTGACACACGACGAGCACACGTGTTGTCGCCTCTCAGCGATGAGAGAGACGAATCTCTCGTGGCTGATTTTTTAGCATGTTTTTCCGCGTCGGGTTTTCGAACAATAGTCGCGCTGTTTCTCGCGTATCCCCGCGCGCGCAGTGCCGCTGTGGGCGGCGTCAGGAACCTCCGTGTAATATGACAGCGCCGGCAAATATACATGTGAAGGCAAGGCAAGACCGAGAGAGGGAGAGTTGAGTGAGTGAGTGAGTAAGTGAGCGAGAGAGATAGACAGAGAGCGAGAACGAGAGAGTGCGAAATAGAGGGTGAGCGGAGAGAGAGATGCGGCAGACGAATGGACAGCGAGAAAGAGGGGTAGGGCCTGAACATGAGAGAGAGAGAGAGAGAGAGAGAGAGAGAGAGAGAGAGAGAGAGAGAGAGAGAGAGAGAGAGAGAGAGGGAGAGAGAGAGAACGGGGGAAGCGAGAGAGGGGGAGAGAGACGTCGCGAGTAGTATTGCAGGCGCCAGTTTGTGGCGCAGTTGGCCAACTGTAGCGATAGAATTTAATATCTCTCTATGGGGAGACGCCGAGGCTAGATGATGGTCGGCGTCTGACGACTGCGCCCGTCAGTCCGTGCTCCGTAGCAAGAGCGGCGCCGATTAATTATTAAAATTAAAATGCGTAATTTATTCATTATATTAAAAACAGTAGTCGAACCCAGGTTCTCTCCCCCTCTCCTCTCTCGCGCGCTCTCTCTCTCTCTTTCTCTGCATCAACCTCTCCCTCTATCTCCCTCTTTTCTCTATCTCTCCCTTCACCCTCTCTCTCTCGTTGTAGGTGGTAGATGAATGTAAACGAAGAGCGTAGCGCCGTCTGCCTGCTATGATACCTTTTCATCTATCGGCTAGTCGAAAAGCTCTTGGCCGATTCTTGCAGATTATAATGAGTTGTAGTGAGGTAATCCGTTTTGATGTGCGTCGGCTATTAGCTGTTATTGTCAATACGTCGTTCAGTGTACATACTCCTGCCTGCGGGAGAATGAATACTACTACTGTACCCACACGCATTGTACTTACGCATTGTGTGTGTGTGTGTGTGTGTGTGTGTGTGTGTGTGTGTGTGTGTGTGTGTGTGTGTGTGTGTGTGTGTGTGTGTG